TATGCAAGGAATTCATGATTCCCCTCCCTAGCCAACCCTCAGCCGAATTTAATGGGCCCTGCTATATCTCTTATACTCCAGAAATGGTAACAACCACCATTATTGGATCTGTTTACTGGAAGAGAATGACCCAAAAGTATAAAATGAATTCCATGTCTCATGAGAGATTGTCAATTAAACATATAATCCAACTTATAAACATTTTAAATAAATTTTTACTTGCAGAATGGTTTTAATATTGAGAGTGAACTTTTTTGCACGTGAATTCCAATACACACTAGTTATTTAATGAGCCTAAGTTTCCTCATTTGTGAAATACCATAATAAGAAAAGGCAGAAAAGAGCAGACTTTAACACAATTATTAATTCCTTTGGTTGGGGCAGAGCCATCTTCCTTCCCCTTCTGCTCTGAGAGATATCCATTTATTCCCACCTCCACCAGCAGTAATTAACTTCATAAATCAAGCTTCTCTCCCAGCCTTCATTCTTCCATCACAAGACTCCTTGAGAGAGGTGTGAGGTCCACAGTCTGGCTGACCATCACATTGGTCAAAATGGCATTCCTCTTCCACTGTGACTAAGGTCCACAATGATGTGCTGAGCTGACAATGAGCTCTCTGAATTGTAAGTTCTAACCGTTGCACTTCACTTTCCAGACAATCATCTGTTGAATGACTAGATAGGGAAAATCTCAACATTATCCCATTTCTAATTGTAGGTGGAGGTAGTTTTCCAAGGTGGTCTGTGTTCTACAGAAGCAAAGCCATGTGGGCTTTGACTCTTAAAGAATACAAGAACCAAGGCTCAGTATTATGGTTGAGCCCATAGACTACAGCATTAAGCAACTGGAGGTTAAATTTTTGGTTGTCACTTCGTGTGTTGAGTCTTATCATATCCAAACCAAAACATTTTCATCAGAAATTAAAACTATCTAATTTATTTAGATGGTGTTAATTTCTATTATAAATTACAGCATTTTGACCGAGCATTACCTTCAACACTACAGACAGCATTTAATACACTAATTCAAAATTATTAATAAATTATTAATAAAAAAACTTGAATAATTAAAAACAAACTGAGAAAACAAAGCTTTCCCCCTCTAAGTTAAGAATTTGAGAAGGCAAGATTAGAATCAAACAAATCAAGGAAGGTCCAAAAAAAAAAAAAAAAAAACGGTTCAGACCTCAAAAAGCCTAAGGGGCTTGGCACTCAGCTCCACCTCCGTGCAAACCCCGCCCACTTGGACTGCTCCACTTTTCCTCCGACACTGGGACCACGCCCCGCCCTACGAGGTCCCGCCCCCCGAACCTGATCTTCGCTCCCATTGGGTAAAGCTGAATGCGGTGTACACCCCCGACACATGAACATCTGACGGGGGCGTCTCTGCGCCTGCGCAGTAGCACCGCCGGGCGTCTGGGAACTGGGGGCTGGGGGCAGGGAGGCGGAGGTCAGGCCGAACCTTCCTCCGTAATAAGCACCGCGGCCCGCGGTCCTGGCTCCGCGGATCCAGTGGGGTCGGGCCTGGGCGCCGGAGCTGCTGTGGCTCCCGCCGCGGCGGGTGCGATGGGGGCCGTGCCGGAGCCCACCGCCCTCGCCGGGGGAGGCCGAGGCAGCCGGCGGCTCTAGTCCATGCGGCGGCGGCGGCGGCGGCGGCAGCCCGGGCTCTCCATGAGCGAGCGGCGGCGGCGACGGGTGCGGTGGCACCGGCGGTTTTCGGTCCCCGAGGAGGTACGAGGACTCGGCTCCCTGGCGGACGGAGGCTGTCGCGGTGGAAGCGCCGTCCGCGGCCAGGCCTCCGGCCCGCCCCGGGCCGCACACCGCGGCGCCCAGCCTTTCCCGGCGGCTCCTGTCCGGGGACCCGCCCGCATTGCGGAGCCGGAGCCCGGCGCCGGGCCTCCGGGGCGGCGGGCGGGCGGCGGCCGGGCGGGGTGGGCGCGGCCGGCTGAGCTGGGGCCGCGCTCCCTCCCGAGCCCGCGCGGGCGTGCGGGCGCGCGGCTTTTTCACCTGGTCGCAGAGCGCGGATCCGGGCGGCCCCTTCAGGACTCCCGAGCTTTAGGGAGGCCGCCCTTCAGTGCCTTAGGGAAACGGTCCGGTTTCCACCCCAGCGCGGAGCACCGATTGTCGCTCTTGCAAATGACCGCAAAAAAAAAAAAAAAAAAAAAAAGGCGGTGCTGTGCCAAGGAGATACCGTCTGAGATCTGAGCAGTTCAGGTTTGTTCAAACTGGAGGGCCTGTTGAGGCAGGAAATAAAGACAGCAGGTAACTCCTCCAGGGTTTCTAGCACAAGGCCTAAGGAACAGTCTTAGGTGTGGCGGAAACAGGTCAGGGCTTTGCAGGCGTTTCTTCATCTCTTTAAGTAATTTTTAGTTCACATCACCTCAATAGTGTTGATACTAGAGTAAGTGCCGTCTTGTTCCTCCAGTCCTCTCTACCCCCCCTTTTTTTTTCCCCTGAAAAAAGCTAAAGAAGTTTCATTGTGTGTGTGTGTGTGTGTGTGTGTGTGTGTGTGTGTGTATAATTGTAGTGTAATTCTCTTAAGTATAAATGTTGCTTTGTAGAGCTGTAGTTACTCTTCATTTGGTCATGCCCAAAAGATAATTTGGAAAATAGTACTAGAGATTTACCATTCCTTTTCAGTGTGGTATGTAGGAGTGTGAACTCAAGCTCTTGATCCTATGACTTTGCTACAGAGTTCTTTAAAATTCAACAGAAATAAATCAAACCATGAAGAAATTTATTTTCATTTTTAAAGTATTTGAATGCCTTATGATTTTTTTTTCAAATCTGTTCTTGGATATGTTAGTTCTTAAGAAGAAGAAACTGAGTTTGTGTTTTCCTAGGTTCCAGGTTTACCACACCCTCTTATTCCTAATTGATTGACTAGAGCCAACCTGTTACTTACTATATATAAACATCTACATTTCAGACTAAATATAGTATTGAATACTTTAGAGTGGAGGATATCTTTCTTCAAGCCAAAAATACTGTGTGTTTATATATCATAACTGAAAATTTTAGTCTAATACTGTTGTAAAATCAACTTCAGCTAAATTTTTCGCACAAATAAAATATACAGGTTCAAAGTATTGAGTGTTGGATTCATGTTATGCTTGGGAGGGTGTGGCACTTGAAAAAATGGTCAAAATAAGACACTGACCACAGTCACTCACTTCTCTTTTCCTATTCCTCAGATGATTCCTTTTTTCATGAAAAATATACTTTTCCATGAAAGTAATATATTAGAAAGTACTATGCTGTTTTTAGTTGACATTTTTATCCCAAATAAAGCAGTTTTATATTGTTTTATTAAGACATTGTTCTTTAATTTTTTTAAAAAAAATTTGTCCTGCATACCATACATATGACATGACCATTTTTGTTAGAATAGTCAGTGACTTTAAAAACAGAATACTTAGAGCTACCCTCAAAGTTGGGGGAAGGATATGTACCAATTCAAACAGAGAGGACACCTCATTTCATTCCCAAATTGTGCAGAGAAGAGAATCAGGATACTTACCAAGTTCTGAATCAAATCTTCACAGCATGGCCAAAACCTGTTTGGCTCAGTGGATAGAGCGTCTGTCTGTGGACTGAAAGGTCCCAGGTTCGATTCCGGTCAAGGGCATTACCTTGGTTGCGGGCACATCCCCAGTAGGGGGTGAGCAAGAGGCAGCTGATCGATGATTCTCATCGATGTTTCTGTCTATTCCTCTCTTCCTCACTGTGAAATATCAATAAAATAAAATAAAAAAAATCACAGCATGAAAAAAAAGGGGGGGGGGTGTCTTCACAGCATGGCCTCAAATTGTAAGGATATATAGCATGTCCTAGATTGTAAATAAAAATCCCAAAGTACATACAGATAATATTTGTATTAGCTGTGCTACTATTCAATTCAGTTCTCACAATTACTCTTCCTATGTTATCTTTCATAGCTGATTGGTCATCATTCTGTAGCCCAAATAAGGGTTCCATTACAGTTCATTTTATAAGTAAAATCACACATATTAACAAGAAAATGAAGCACAGCTTGTATTTTGGAGGGTGAAAGAAGTTTACATTAGGAATACACAAAACCAAATTTAGATTGTATCATTAAATAGTTTTACCTTCATTTAAAATTTATTACAGGGTTTTCCTATATCAGAAAAAATCTGTGGTATAATATAAAGCCTCTCAAAAAAAAAAGATTGCAGTTTCTTTCCCCCCCATCTTCATTGTTGAGAGTATTGCAGATGTTCTCCCCCCCCCCCCGCCCCCCCGATTTTTCCCCCATTGCCCTCCTCTAGGTTTCCACCCGCTCTAGGCCTCACCACTCTTGTCTGTGTCCATGGGCAATGCATACATGTATATAATAAATTCTTTGGTTAGTCTTCCTGCCCACTCCCCCAGACTCCTTACCTCTAAGATTACCTCTGAGATTTGCCAGTCTGTTCCATGTTTTCATGCCTTTGGCTTTATTTTATTCATCAGTTCATTAGATTCCACATATAAGTGAGATTATGTAATATCTTTCTGACTGGCTTATTTCATTTAAGCTAATAGTCTTCAGGTCCTTCCATGCTGTCTCAAAGGGTAAGAGATCCTTTTTTATCCACTTACCCACTGTTGGGCACTTAGGCTGTTTCCACATATTAGCTATTATAAATTATGCTGCTATGAACCATAGGGGTGCATATATTCTTTTTTGGGATTCTTAGAATATATTTCTAGAAGTTGAGTTTTCCTATATCACAGATAAAAATCTTCAGTATAATTAATATAAAACCCTATCAAATAGCATTCAATATCAAAAAAAAAGGTGGCAGCTTCTTAAGTGGTCTTTTCAAAGAATATGTATATTGCTCCCAAAATGACATAGCTAGAATTGTCTTAAGGTATTTTTGTTGCATTGAGAGACCATCTAACCAAATTAAATTTAAATCTTTAGATAGCTTTATTTTCATTTAAACATATATCTAATCATATATATGTTCTTTTAATTTTTAAAATGCAGGATGAAGACACTGTTTGAGGAGATCAAAGCATCAATTAAAAATAACTATAATCAAGATCGCTCATTTTGGAGGCCTGTTCTTCCTTGGGGAGGTGTTTTTACTATCAAAGCTGGCCGCAAAGCAGTATCCTGTACACCACTCTATGTTGAAATAAGACTGAAAAATACCTGCACCATAGATGGATTCTTGATGTTATTATATGTCATTCTTCATGAAAATGAAAATTTTCCCAGGGAACTCTCTCTTCATTTAGGTAGAGAATTTGTAGACTGTTTTCTTTATTTAATGGACACCTACAGTTTTACAACTGTGAAGCTACTTTGGATTTGGGACAAGATGGAAAAACAGCAATATAAATCTGAAGTTTATAAAGCTTCATTAATAATTGATTTGTTTGGAAATGAACATGATAATTTTACAAAAAATCTCGAAAATCTCATGTCTACCATACAAGAGAGTTACTGTTCCAATTGGCGATGCCCAATTCGAGTGCAGGAAGATCAGCAGCGTACAATTAATATAAAGTAAGTTCCTCTAAAAGTCTTTTATCTGCTCTACAGTTTGTTTTTGTCACTCTTTAAAAAAAATTAATTTTATTTTGTTGTTAATCCTCACTTGAGGATAATTTTTCCATTGATCTTTCAGAGAGAGGGGAAGAGAGAGAGGAAGGATGTGAGAGAAACACATCAATTGGTTGCTTCCCGCCTGGGTCCCGGGCCGGGGAGGAGCCTGCAGCCAAAGTCCATGCCCTTGACCAGAATCAAACTTGGGACCCTTCGGTGTTGTTATATGTCGTTATAGAGAGCAAACCACTGAGCCAGACCTAACAAGGATATTTTGTCACTTTTAGAAACAGTATACAACTTTTTTAATGAAGTGCTATAAATGTAAATATATAGTCAAAGTACTTCTTAAAGTACAACACTGTAATCACACGTAAATCAACCACTCAAATTCAAGGTTTTTTAGTCCAATGACAGAAATATCCAAACATTTTAGAATTTACTTTAGAAAACCAACTGATAACCATTTTGCTTGCAAAGTAATGAATTATTCAGAGTGCAAAATATATTGCCCTTGCTCTGAATTACTAATGTGATTTTATAGATAATAAATTTCTGCATCACAAATGTTACCTTTTAAGCACTATCCAATATATGTTTCCAAGATAATGTTTCACTTTTAAAAAGATCTATGTTGAGTGGGCTAGTTCTACATGAATAAGAGGATTGAGCCATGGCCAGTGTGGCTTAGTTGGTTGGTGGCAGATTGATTCCAGGTCAGGGCATATATCCAGGTTGTGGGTCCAATTCCCCATGGGTTCACATATGGGAGCAACTGATCTCTCTCTTCCTCAGTCCCTCCCTCCCACCCTTTCTTCCTTTAAAATCAATTTAAAAAAAAAAAAAAGATTGAACATACTCAATGTACTTCGAATAATTATAGACAGAAATCACAAACTTGGAACCTTAACACCTGGAGATGTGTCTGTAAGGAGCATTTTCACTGATTAGGAAAGGTGCTGGTAGCCTATTTTTGGCTTTCAGAACGAAGGCAGACCTCCAGGCTAGTAAATGACAGGGAGGGAGGCCAAACTGGCAAGCCCTAGTAGAGTGTTAGGAAACATTAACACCCCCAAGGGACATGAACTGGAACAGGGATAATTGTCAGTGGAAAAAAACATGACTGAAAAACAAACCCAAACACATTGTTGTCAGAAATTGTATTTGGCCCTATGGTCCAGAAAAACAGCCTAATAGATTGTTCTCTTTGAAGGATATATCTCACATACAGTTCATATTTCTTTATTGCACATTTACTTTAATATTATACTAGAAGCCTGGTGCACAAAATTTGTGCACTTGAGGGGTATCCCTCAGTCCAGCCTGCACCCTCTCCAACATGGGATCCTATGGGGTCGGGCCTAAATCGGCAGACATACTTCTCACAATCCTGGACTGCTGGCTCATAACCACCCTTCTGCCTGCCTGCCTGATCACTCCCTAACCACTCCCCTGCCAGCCTGATCACCCCCAATTGCCCTCCCCCGATGGCCCAATGCCCCCAAATGCCTTCCCCCACCAGCCCAATCACTCCTAACTGCTCTCCCTGCCAGCCTGATTGCCCACAATTGTCTTCCCCTGTTGGCCTGATTGCCCACAACTGTTCTCCCCTGCCGGCCATCTGGTGGCCATCCTGTGATGATGTGGGGGCAGCCATCTTGTAGTGGTCTAAGAGCCACCTAGGCTTTTATTAATATAGTTCATGGAACACTGAAGATACTTTATTCTTTTTAGAGTCAATGTCTCTATTTTTCTGAAAAATGCTTTGTCCATTTTCCTGTATTGCTGAAGGATGTTGATTTTCAAATCTATCTGGCAAAAAAGTTTTATTACTTTAAACCACATTTTAAAGCATTTCAGGAATTTGTGTTTTTTTACCTAATATTTTAATCTGCATATGTTTTGGAACTATAATGAAATATTTATGGTAGCATATTAATGCTAATATTTTGTGTTTCTCAATAAAATATTTTTATCATACTCTACTTTTTCAAGCTTTTGCACATTTTATTTAATCCTATATTTAAAACAATTTTTGAAATATGTAGGAAAAAGTTTTTTAACAAATCAGGTAAGTGAGGCCAACTGTGGCTGCAACTTAGGCTGGCAATTTTAGTAACAAATCAGTTGCTTTCCTGATTCTGGGTCCTAATTTCTCTCTTCTGTGAATCCTCTGGAAATTTTTTTAAAAATATATTTTATTGATTTTTTACAGAGAGGAAGGGAGAAAGATGAGAGCGAGAAACTTCCATGAGAGAGAATCATCAACCAGCTGCCTCCTGTGGGGAGGTGCCCGCAACCAAGGTACATGCCCTTGACCGAAATCAAACCCAGGACCCTTCAGTCTGCAGGCCAACGCTCCATCCACTGCACCAAACCTGTCTCGGCTGGAAATTTTTTTTAAAGTAACAACAACTGCATATTTCAGCATTAGTTTACAGAAAGACTTAACATTTCTTGGCAAGCTTCATGCATTGGCATTTATTAAATTTAACTGGTTTCTCTACTATTTACAAGAAGTACAAAGATGAGTAACAGAGGTTAGTCTTTTATTGGGTTTGCTAATAATGAATTGACCTGTAAATTTTGTAACCCTAATAATGTATTTGCCTGTAAAATGTTGAAGCAGTTCTTACATGCATTTTGCAATTTTTGTAGTCCTCCCCAAGAAATTCCACATGGAAACTTGATACGACTGGCTGTGGATGAGTTATTCTGTTCTAGGATTGAACTGTGTGAAGAGCAGGGGTAAGTATATTATAGACATTTAAGATGAAAGTATTCTGTTTTTTATAAAGAAACCTGGACTGATTTTTTTTTATGTTAATACTATATGAAATAGTTACTCATAAGTATTTAGGAAGTCTAACATTTTTAAAATCTTAACACCTTCTAGTTTCCTATACTTATTCTGCATTGTCATTACCAAGTAAAATATAATACTGCTAGAGGCCCAGCGTACAAAATCATGCACAGGTAGGGTCCCTAGGCCTAGACTGCGATCAGGGCCATCCCCACTGCCACCCACCCCGGTTCCCCGTTTACCATCCAGCGACCGGAGCCTGCAGCCTGGTGGGAGAGACCAGGAAGTCTGCCTTCTACCTGCTTGCCAATCTCCAGTTCTGCCCTGCCACCACCCACCCCAGTTCCCCGTGGTTTCCTATTGCCATGATCAGAGGCTGTGGGGTCAGCCTTTCCTCCCACTCACCAATCCCCGGTCCTGCCCCGCTGCCAACACTCACCTGTGGTTCCCCATTCACCATCCGGCAATCATAGCCTGTGGGACGGGGGGAGGACTAAGAGGTGGTCAGTGCACCTCATGGCAACTGTCAATTGGTCGTTATGCCATTATGATCACTGGCCTTTTGTTATATAGGATAGTTAATTGATGAATACAAAGCAAATGCCTTTTCTTTTTTTCCCCACTGCTGAGTAGGTACAATAAAACCTTGCTTAACCGGAACCCAGATAGTCGGCACCCTCAATTAACTGGATTTTTTCTGCACTCCTCATTTAGGAGAAAGGTAAATTGTAACCACAAAATTTAACACAATAAAATGTTTAAAAAATAGAAATCTAAAGGGGCAGAAAGAATATATTCATCCCAACCTCTTTATTTCTATATCTACATTATTGTACAATGAGAATAAATATTGAGAATTATGATCTTACAGCTAATTAATCACTGAAGAAGGAAAGAATAAAATATTTTCAGTTAATTGTACTTAAGTTCAGAGAGTGAACTCATGCACTTTAGCAACAAATACTACATCAAAATGGTTTTCCTGTTAATTTAGTTTAGTCAGTGATGTTTGTTAACCAAAATATTATATTCTGAACATTCCGGTTAATCGAGATTTTACTGTATAACTGTATTTGTTGGATTCTGATCCATATGCTTAATACCTGATGTTGCTAAGAAAACAGAATTTGTTTCATTCAATAGCAAAAGGAAGCAATTAGAGAATTATATGCAGTCTAAAGAGGCCTGTAATCCTATTTTCCCATCTCTGTCATTATTTCCCTTTGAAACCATCTTAGATAAAGAAAAATGTATCTAAAAATCAAAGCTACTCACTTTTATAAGCCTAGATAAAGCAGCTAGCTTTTCCTTGAATTTTAAAAGTATCAGAACTTGTGAACTTTTGGAAATAGATATACAAAGATGTGCAAAAGTAAATTTACAGTTTGAATGCAAATAAATAATATAATCCTATCTAATAAAAAGGGAATATGCTAATTAACCTTCATACATCACAAAGTTGGCAGCACCCTCAGCCAATAAGGAGGGAATATGCTAATTGAATGCCCCACCCTCAAACATTGCAGCACCCACAGCCAATAGGAGGGAATATACTAATTGACTGTCCGCCCTCAAAGATGGCAGCACCCACAGCCAATAAGGAGGGAATATGCTAATTGAATGCCATGCCCTCAAAAATGGCAGCACCCACAGCCAATAAGGAGGGAATATGCTAATTGAATGCCATGCCCTCAAAGATAGCAGCACCCACAGCCACAAGATGGCGGTGCCCAGTCTCCTCAGCCCCCCAGCCGCCCAGGGCTCAGGCAAACTCGGATGGTGGCTGCCCAGCTGACGCCCGAGGTGAAGGCAAGCCTAAGATGTCCAGTCTGAGGTGCAGGCAAGCCTCACGTGACAGTTGCCCAGCCACCCAAGGCGGGTCCGAGGCGCAGGCAAGCCTCAGATATTGACTGCCCAGCCATCCAGGGCCACCCAAGGCTCAGGTAACCAGGGCCAGCCAAGGCTTGCGCTGCTGGCAGTGGCAGCAGCAGAGGTATGATGGGTTGTTGCCTTCCCCTGATCACCACACCCCAGAGGGCTCCCGGACTGTGAGAGGAGTAGGCAGGGCTGAGGGACGCCCCCCTCCAGTGCATGAATTTTCATGCACCAGGTCTTTAATCTGTATACTAAACGCCTAAGCAGCCATTACAGTAGAATGACCAGAATGACTGGTCACTATAATGCACACTGACGGCCAGGGGGCAGATAACATAGGAGCTGCCCCCTGGTGGTCAGTGCCCTCAGCCAGAGCTGGGCTCATGGCTGGTGAGCGCAGTGGCAGTGGCAGGAGCCTCTCCTGCCTCCACAGCAGTGGTAAGGAGCAGCAAGCCAAGTGGTAAGGAGCAGTAAGCAGGCAGGTGATAAGGAGTGAGGGCTCCCGGACTATGAGAGGGCACAGACCGAGCTGAGGGGACCCTACCCCCTCTGCATGAATTTCGTGCACCAGAGCTTTAGCACTAAATAATAATGAAGAATAAACTGTGTTTCGTGTACTTATAACTATAAATCTACTTTTGCCCACCTTGTGTAAGCTATTAATATGGCTATATTATTATTACCCATTCCAAAATAGGTATTTATGCTTATTATGACACGAAGTAATAAAGACAACTCAAAAGTGATAAAAGGCAGCTTTATTCCAAGTTTAATAAAATTCATGCCTACTTTCAATTTTAGGTGTGGTGGCTTAAGAGAATTCTCCCAACGAGTTTTCTGCCATGGGGCACCTCCTTTTGTTGTCTTAAATATGCAGCATTGGAAATCTGAAGATCTGGCATATGTACCCTATTATTTGGATTTATCTGATCACAAGTAAGTGGATTTTGTTTGTTTTATAAAATTAGTGAAAAATAAATTTATGTTCTTCTGCTATTCTGGTATGACGTTTTGTAGCCTGAAAGGAAATATTTAAATTTGTGTATACTGAACAGAATCAGCATCTACTACAGAAACTTAGTTGCTGACAGGGTAATATTGGTTAGGCGCTTGAATTATGGAATAGAAAGAATTGAATTCAAACCCAGCCCCACCATTTATAAGCTATGTGACTATGGACCAGAAAGGTCACATAGCTTATAAAAACAGTTTACTTGTCAGATTTCTTATCTATAAAGCAGAGATGACAACATCTATCTGGGGTGCCTTACTGTGAGGATTTAATTTACATAGCACATGAAATGTATGGGATAGTATCTATATACTGAGTGGCCGGATTATTTTGATCCCTGAACACATAAAAATCTGGCCACTCAGTGTATATATATTTATATTAGAAGCCTGGTGCATGAATTCATGCATGGGTGGAGTCCGTTAGGCCTGGCCAGGGGGAGGGGACATGGGTGGTTGGCCTGCCTGCTGGTCGAACTCTTGGTCAAGGGGACAATTTGCATATTAGCCTTTTACTATATAGGATGTACACTGAGTGGCCAGATTATTATGCATTCAGAGATCATCATAATCTGGCCACTCAGTGTATTCAGTAAACAGTAAATTCTGATTATTACTGGTATCTCAAGTCAAAATAGTATATAGTACGAAGTCATCATTTAAAAATAAAAGGTTACTGGCTCTAGCCGGGTACCTCAGTTGATTGGAGCATTGTTTAAATGCTCCAAGTTTGCAGGATTCAATACCCAATCAAGGCAACTTTAAAATTTTTTTAAATAAAATGATACTACCATTATTATAGTTAAAAATAACTGCATACATTGCCCTAACTGGTTTGGCCCAGTGAATAGACCATTGGCCTGTGGACTGAAAGGTCCCAGGTTTGATTCTGGTCAAGGGCATGTACCTTAGTTGCGGGCACATCCCCCGGTAGGGGTGTGCAGGAGGCAGCTGCTCGATGTTTCTCTCTCATCAACGTTTCTAGCTCTCTGTCCCTCTCCTTTCCTCTTTATAAAAAAAATCAATAAAATATATTTTAAAATAATAAAATAAGTTTAAAAAATAAAAAAATACAAAATAACTGCATACAAATTGGGACATACAGGATTCCTTTAACTTTTTTCTTTAAAAGTTTTTTGTGTGTTTTCTCTTACTTAATAGAACCATATAGATTATGAATTAAGATTTTTTTTTAATTCTTAAATTATATCAATTTTTCAAATTCCTAAATGTTTTATTCCAAATTTCCTATTATAGTACATTAGTTTTATAGATGGATATCTCAATATTTTTCCTTAGTTAAGAATTTAAGGAATGTTTCTCTTAAGAACAAAGTATTTCAACTTTCTGCTACACTTTGTCATTGAATTTACAGGTATTTATTGGAAGGTGCCACATTATTTAACAAAGAGGAACATCATTATTCTGCAGCTTTTCAAATTGATGGACATTGGATGCATTATGATGGCCTCAGAAATGTGAATTTAATTTTGTTAAATAAACCCCCAGAGTTTCTCCTCTTGTCATCATTGGTTTATATTCGAGCAGCAGAGAAATAAATATAGACTGATGCTAAATTTAATTGTTTTCCCTCATGCCCATTGCACCCTAAGATGAAGGGCTTTTATTTTGTATGTACTTGGTATCCAAGAAAAATAGTTCAACTATATTAGTTTCAGAGGTGTATTTTCCAGTGTATAGCCCCAGGTAAATATTTTATATGGAGAATCTATGCAAAAATGTTTGTATTTCTTTTTTCTATATCATGGGTTATTTTTATACAAGCATATTTTATGTTGAGAGAAAATATATCTTTGTATTTTTTATTTATATTTACCTCAAAGATTTTTTTACAATTCTGTCCGTGAATCTAAGAAAATACTTTGTCATTGAATTATCAAAGTTTTTGTTTATATTCAACTAAAACCTGGGTACAAGTCACTGTTTAAGTTTATATAAATTTCACAGTTCAAGATATATCTGACTTTATTTCTTTGCCCTACCTCATTATAAGCCAAAGTGCACTATTGGATTAGTATGTATTTGAATGTACAAGTGATAGATGGCTTAATCTATTATACCTGTTGTTTTGCCTAATTTTTAAACTTTTTGGTGAGAATGATTTTTCTGGGCTGGAATAATTTCCTTACAATGGCAAATTCCTTTAACCACTTGCAAAAGTATTTTAAACCTGCCAGTGGATTTTAAGTGTTAACTAAGTTCCTGAGAGTAATCAGAGTTACTGTTCAAAATAAATTATAAAACTAATCTAAACATTTATTTCATAATTCTCTAGTAGAAATGTATTTTGCAGATAAGACAACCATAAAAAAAAATTAGGCAACTGGATGTTTACTAATGTTGGATTGACAGTAGAAATGTACTTTAAATATATACTTAGGAAAAAAAATGGGTGCTTGGGAATATTTCTTTTTCTAGTAAGTCATATTGGCACAGGAAAAAACAACAACAAATTTTTGTAGTAATATCCGCTAGCTCCCTTATAAATAGTAAATTGGTAAGATGAGGCTTTGATTTGCAATAGAAATAACTAGAATTGTATAGATAACAGAATATTATGTTTCTCTTCAAAGACCCTAAGATCTCTCCCTCTTTTGTGATGTAAAGGAAAAAAATAAGTAATTTTCTTAAGGAAAATTACTTTTTGAAATTAATAATTTTTTTGTGTTTACATTTCATTTCTACCTTAGGCTTTGGGTTGAGATTGAGTGCAACATATTGGAGATTTCTATATGATAACCCAGGTCACTGCCATATACCAAATTGCTAAGTTTTAATTTAGTAAATTAAGTCTTAAAATGGCATAGTGCCATGTAGAGAATTTGCCGAAGAATGGATAAATGTGAGTGAAACTTTGCTGAGAATGCCTCATTTTGAGCAAATACTATGAAAATTCCTTTTTTACATAAGATTAAAAATACTGATTTATTTTACAAAAAAACTTCACCTCAGAGTTTGTTTAATAGTTCCCCATGTGTATTTAAATAGAATTTGATTTGCAGTAAACTTTTCTGGAGACAGCTTATTGCATGAATCAAAGTATACAGAAACACAAATTCTAGCATATTCATAAATGGAATCATTAACAAAATTATTCCTACTGTAGATTTATTTTTTTAGGAATTGCACTTTATTTGGAATGATGTTAGTTTATCACAAAACAGTGACTTACCTACCTCACAGGGTTGTTGTGAGGAATTAGATATTTGTTAAAAACTTGACTACCTTGAACATGCTAATAAACATATTTTTTCTACCTCTTTCATGTACAGGAAAGTCTCCCAGATTCTTACTAATGAACTTTTCAGACAAGATGGGGCGCATTCAGGGTGGTATGGCCGTTAAACAGTAGCTCCTTGAGTAATGGATTTAATGTATAATGGAATTTAAGTATGTCTTCTGGGCCTCAAATGGCTGGGTTTTTCAGATAATAGGTAGTTTATTTTTATGGTTGGTTGATTGGTAGAAATAAAAAATTATTTCCTGCTGATCAAATAGTAGAAAAGAGGTGACAAATAATAAAATAGATTATTGGCAGATGTTAAGGTGAGGGCATGGAACATTCTTTATAATCTTAAACACCCTTAGAGAAGAGGAGGCGAAGATCTGAGGGAATAATCAGAATATATTTTTAATCAAAATGCCAAAAATTGTATACCTATGGGGAAGGCAAAAATGGTTTTTAAACCCTGGCCTCAGAGAGGTATAAAGAATAAATACAGCAAATTTAAGGAGGAATTTCCAATTTCTCTTCATAAAAAGAAACCTTTTCCCTCCCAATTTAACAGATGATCTTACTTAGATGTATTCTTCAAGGTGACTTTTAATTACTAATTAGTAGACTTTATTTAATATCTGAGGTCTTCTCACTCCATCTGATCCTATCAAAGAGGAAAAAGAAACTAAAGATAACTGATTACAGGCAAGCTTTGCATGCTTACTACGGTAAATTCTATATCTCATTCTCAGATCATGAGCAGCAAACAACTAAGCTATATAAGCCAGATAACTACTATGACATAAACAAAAAGCTGTACTTGTTAAGCATATCAACAGTTTAGTTTTATAATTAAATGAATTTATGACAATTGTTTGAAAATAATTGTAATACACTATATGAAGAAATAGTAAGCAGTTTGCATAAAAATGACTGCAAACTGCGTACTATTTACTACAAGTATTAAACTATAGCCAAAGCAAGCATGTATACTCAGAGAGGCAAAAGTAGGTTTACATTTGTATGGGGAATAATACAAGAATAAACTTTGTCTTGCCTACTCACAACTATAAACCTACTTTTGCCTCACCCTATATTCTCATCATCCTTTTCTTAATTCTCCAACATTTAAAATCAGCATCAAGTGTTTCTGCTTTAAAAGCTAAACTCACAAAGCTTTTGAAGTGCATCTTAATGATGCCCTACTAACAGGTTCCAACCCACCTAGTGACCCAGGTTCACTAGGGTCACCTGGACAGCCTTTAACTTCCAATTTAAATTTGATTCCAGGGAAAACATAAACTTTTACTCTATCTCTGAGAAATTGAGAAAGAAGTGGGGAGTCTCTGTAGCAAAATAATTTCTTTATATGCTGATATCTACCTGAGAGGTATAGTAGGTTATTTTCCCTCAATGAGCAATCAGTTCTATAGACCTCCATTCTTTCCTCAATGAGGTCTGCTGGAAGCTATCAAGAAGAATTATCTTGAAAAAGTGAGCAGCTCTTTAGGGCCTTTAAAAGTGATGGACTGGAACAGGAGCTTGGGAGCAAATGATCTGTGCAGTCAAGTTAGCTATGGTAGAATTAAAAATCTGTTCCGCCCAACCAGCGGCTGAGTGGCTCAGTGGTTGAGTGTCAACCTATGAACCAGGAGGTCACAGTTCGCAGGCTCCATCCCCAGTAGGGGGCGTGCAGGAGGCAGCCAATCAGATTCTCATCATTGATGTTTCTATTTCCCTCTCTTCCTCTCTGAAAACAAATATATTTTTTTATAAAAAGAATGAAATCCATCCTAACTGGTTTGGCTCAGTGGATAGAACATCAGCATTGCCTCACCCTGTATTCTCATCATCTTTTTCTTAATTCAACACCAAAAGGTCTCGGTTCAATTCCAATTAAGGGCACACACCTTGGTTGCAGGCTCCTCTCCAGCCCAGGCCTGGTGGGGGCACATTCAGGAAGCAACCAATTGATGTTTCTCTCACGTTGATGTTTCTCTCTGTCTTTCTCTCTCTCTTCCACTCTCCCTAAAAATCAATGGAAAAATACCCTCGAGTGAGGATTAACAAAAATAAATCTGTTCACCACAATGACATATCACCTCACACCTATCAGAAGGTCATCAGTGAATTAACAAACAAGTGTTGGTGAGGATATAGAGACAAGAGAGCCCTCAGGCACCTTTGGTGTGAATGCAGATTGGTGCAGCCACTGTGGAAAGCAGTGTGGAGTTTCCTCAAAAAATTAAAAACGGAACTGTAGCAAAATAATTTCTTTATATTGCTGATATCTACCTGATCACGTTTGACCCAGTGATTCCACTTCTGGGAAATATCCAAAGGAACCCAAAGCAAAATAATCTCTTTATATGCTGATATCTATCTGATCACTTTGACCCAGTGATTCTACTTCTGGGAAATATCCAAAGGAACCCAAAACACTAATATGAAAGAATATATACACTTCTATGTTCATTGCAACATTTTTTACAATAGCCAAGATTTGGAAGCAGCCCTGGCCAATTTGCTCAATGGTTAGAGTGTCAGCCCCATGCACTGAATGATCCCAGGTTCAATTCTTGGTCAAAGGCATACCTCGGTTGCAGGTTCCCCAGCTGGGGTGAGTATGGGAGGCAACCAATTGATGTCTCTTTCTCATCTAGCTGTTTCTCACTCCCACCTCCTCTATCCCTTCCACTCTAATCAGTGGATAAAAAACCATGGTACACAATGGAATACTACTCAAATACAAAAACATCTATACTACTAATAGAGGATTATGCAAATTAGCTGGGATGCTGTCATGTAATGACCAATCAGGATGGGGCTGAGCTGTGGCAGAGAGCTCTTAGCATGCCTGTTCTGAGGTCCAAAGGGCATGGAGAGGAAGGGAGAGCAGATAGGCAGTTGGGGGACCAGGCCAGGAGGGGAGCAGTTAGTGTGATCAGGTCAGCAGGGGAGAGCAGTTAGGGCCAGCAGGGGAGCTGTTAGGGGCATCAGGCAGTCAGGCAGGTGAGCAGTTAGGAGCCAGTGGTTTCAGATTGTGAGAGGGATCCTGGATTGGAGAGGGTTCAGGCCGGGCTGAAGAACCCCTCTTCCCCACATGAATTTCATGCACCAGGCCTCTAGTAAAATAATAAAAAAATGATGAGTAGACCTGGAAAGCATTATACTAAGGAAAATAAGCCAATCAGAGAAAGGTAAGTACCAAATTATTTCACTCATGTGGAATCTAATGAACAAAATTAACAAAATAGAAAATGACTAGTAGAGAATAGACTGTCAGAGGAGAGAGAGGTTGAGAGGCTGGGTAAAAAAGGT